AATAGAGATAATTGATGTTACCGTTTTCTTTGGGGGAATTAGAACCTTATCACATGTTTATAACAATTACAAGTCAAGTCCATAGCACAGAATATGTACATGTATTATTTAATACACACATGTGTAAAAATGGCCGACAATCGACTTCAAGTTGAATCTAAGTACACACGGATCGGGTTTCTTACTTTTAAAAGCCACCCCTTAATACTTCCCTATTTTAAGTAACGTTTATAACCATAGAACATGATTTTTGTTTTTTATCGTCAAGTATAATAATGTTATTAGAAATTTTTTTTTTGGCTTACATAATTATTTCGTTTGACCAAATCGCTAAAACATTAAATTCGAATAACCCTGTCTACGAGTAGGTAACCGTTTGCAATTAAAAAAAAAACGTTTCCAGTTTGTTCGTGGCGAACCACGAGACACTCGGAAATATTGTATAATTTAATTTACTAATGTTTTTCTATACTACCCAATTTTTATTTTTTTCAAAACGGGTTTTTCGACGGAAACGCCGATTAATTAATATCATTTCTCGTCGTTGTCGGTGTATTCTGATACTGTACAGCAATATATTGTTGTGTAATAATATTATATTATAAAGCACGGATTCGGACCGTTCCGGGGTAGACAGGATGTAATTTCCAGATCACTAAGAGCACTACTACATCTTTGCTTCTGCGCATAATATGCCATAATATATGCCTACTTGTGCACTTGTATTATGCGCCCGTCGTTAAGATAGCGCACACACATGGTCCGTGTACCGTAAACTTGCGTCATTCCGAACCGATGCAGTTGCTTATACTTGTTATACTTACCTGCCTACAGGCGGGAAATGTTTACAAACGAAAATTGCTACCGAAAAGAATACTATTATGCATATCTATTGTACAAAATGCGTTTTACCGGATAGCGATTATAAATATGCACCGTGCACAATATTATTATTGCACCTACGTTTTTTTAAGTCGTAGAATTTATTTAATTTTAATTGCACATTAACACTATGCAACGGAAAGAAATCAAATAATTTCCTATATAATATTATACGCTGTTTCCGTACCTACGCCGAGAAGATATTCCACGCGGATACACTCAAATTATATCATAACACATAGAAATGTATATGAATTTATAATATTACATTCTTGTACAAATAATTAATATTACACAACACGGTCGTATCCTCTGCAGTGATCACAACTTTCATAATATAATATACTACAAACTGCGCGTTTAAGTAGGTTTATAAAATATATTTCAAACACATTCCAATCAAGAAGATATTTTATCAGCTGTTGTTGTTACACCTGCGCAATATTCAGATTTCGAATAGCTCAAAGCCCAAAGCGACTCGTTTAATTGGCAAGTAGCGCCACATTAACACGTACCTACCTAATTTCATTTACTCTCGCAGTTGCCTTCGGAGAGAGAATAAAATATATTAAACGGAATCGACGATGAGTTACAACGACCTGTCCACATAGATATAAATTAAACCTTACAAAACAATGGCACGCGCGTACTCCAAAATCTACTCGGGCAATAATAGTAGTAGTACATCTTATGCAATAATAACCAACGATTGAATATACGCTTTAAATTAGATACCTCCATAGTGATCCATGAACAACACAACAAAGTGTAGACACTACACATAATAAAAAGAAGAGATCTATCGCCGTACTTGAAGTATATTTATTCAAATTGGGTTTTTAACCACAGCCTTTGAACACCAACAGTGTTAATTCGTGTTAAGGATTATAAACTTTAGAATACAAAATACATGTGTTCACATTTAAAAAATGTGAAAATATAAAAATGATTCGAATCCTTGTCGTTTGTACTTCTGAAAAAAAGTAAAATTCTACACTCCAAATAAACGCTTATAAGAACTTGTTATTACACTGTGCATAATGAACGCTAATAATAAATGCAGAATATTTTCAATTTCTTATATTCTGCGAATGCGTTGATTTTTTATGCATAACAAATTGTGGGTAAGAATAAATAAAAACATCACGGCACCGCGTCACAAATATAATTAAAATTCAAAGGTAAAAGTGTTTTTTTTTATATATATAGTTGTTTACATTATTTAAATTAGTGTTGGCAAAAGTAAACGATTACGGGGAAAATATAATACAAACAGAATTAACGCACGGTCTCCAATAGTATTTTTTTATTGCAGGAATTCAGTATATTTTTTTATCTATTCACACAAAGAACCCAGGTAATAAGATTTGAAGACAGAAAATCTACCTATACGTACAGTTGGTTTGGACGGTCAATCCAAGTCGCCGATGGTTGTGTCACAACAATAACAAATCACCATCGAGTGTAGCAGAGTAGAATAAAAATTAACCGTCAACTAACTCCAACTTGAACGTCTGTCTATAATATAATAATATCCATAATACAAGACCTTCTAGTAAGATTTGATTGGTAAGTCGCCCAAGCGCCGAGGGAAACGTCTAAAAAGACAAACGCGAATGTCCAGTCATTTCCTGATGTACCTTTACGCGAATAAGATGTGTGTTAATAACGAATCGCCGCGTTTATCAATGTGTGTCATGGATCTTATTCGTGTATTAAGATACCTGCCTACTATGTTTGTTCACACGAGAATATTATCAGAATAGAGCAACACACAACATCATCATAATATTATTTACAACGCCCAAAACACACAATATATTATTATGACCGAAAAAACGCTATTCACGGTTTTCCTGTGTGTGTGTGTGTGTTTCAATATCGATACATGGTAATAATCACATGATAATAGACAGATGAAAACACACACACACATATATATTATGTATGTATCATTGGATATAGATACTCCTCGGAGAGTGAAACCCGTGTGGAAATGTAAAATACATATCACCGGGGAAAAAATAATTATTATCGTGCACTGTCGATGACTCGGATCGTTTGGCTGAGACGAAAACGGTGTGTTTACACCAATATGTTTTCCTATTGTTATTCAATGAGAAATGCCGTATAGCCGAGAAAATCATTTTGAAATTCGATCGCGTAATGTGTGTGTTAAAATAAAATAGCTGTAACACTTGCATATTTTTACCTGTGCACGCTGCTGCCAAAAAAACGAGTCTACCCGTGTAAATACATACATACATAAAAATAAAAACCACACCGATTGATAAATCTAACTTATTTTCTGATTGTTAAATCAAATATGGCCCTTTTAGCTCGGAGAAAAATAACTTAAAAAAATTATAACACTAGAAAAACTTAATATTTTCTCACCTACTGTCTATCCTTTTCCCCCCTTAATAAATAACCGCGTTCTCGTTAACGTTAACGACTTAAATTTCGATAATATATTAGTTTACATACTATAACGATGATAAAATTCACTCGGTCGTGATATGCCTATATTATACCTACTCTATCGCAGTGACAAGTAGAGAGAGTACTCACCGTTCCATGAACCCCAACTATAAACCTATCTAATTACAGAACTAATGTAGACGAAGTGCAAAGTTGGCGTATCCGAGCTCATGTGAACTTGTGTACCTATGAATAATTCCTTAAGCACATCAAAAAGTCTATAAAATAGCGTTTTGACCGGTTTCCTGTCCGAGATGAACTAAATCAGACAGTAGCCGTTAAATACAAGGCGCTTATCGTCAGATCCATCAACACTGTTTTCCACTAAAACATAACCCAAATTCCTAGTACGGTTCTTTGAGTATAGTTAATTCTAAGTCAGTTCCCACGGAGAGGATAAACAACTAATTATTATCGGATAGCATTATTAATTGTGTGATCGCTGTAATGATTTAAGCGAGGTGATTATAAGTGTTAACAGTGAACTTAGGTAGGCGTTAGGGACAGTACACGTTGTTGCTCTGTCATTTAAGTTTCTATGAAAAATTGATAATGTTTTGGATGATGAGCTGATGATCGGTCGACGGTCGTCGGGCAGTGTCTTTTTGCATATTTCTTTCCAGAGCTCTAACAACTTTAAAAACTTATACTAGCAACGTATATGTTCAATCGACTTTTTCAATTAGGAATGATTTATCAAAACATTTCGACTGGACGGTGGTAACCGACTTTGGGTATAATTACTTTTCAAGTTCAAAATAATAATAATAGCACTTCACTTTACCCTTACTCGCGTCTTAAACATAAAACTTAAACAATTAATCAAAAGTAATTACCCAAAGCCGGTTATCGACCGGTCGAAATTTTCAGCGAATTATTCTCAATTTAAAAAGTAAATTGACACATACATATACGTTACCGTTTTAGTTTCATCGATTATTCAGTAATTTTGCTATGTCAGTGCGAGAAACCGAAAAAGAAAAACCATCATATGGCAGTAATTATGTTAAGAAGAAAAAAAACAGTGTAATCGATCACCGAGTAATTGTGTTGGTAGTATAAATTCTGAAAAAAACGACACTTTAACCGTATTTTTTTACTACTTAGGTTTTTTAAAACTGTACATGACAATGTATAATATTATAGTATTCGACTTGAACGAACGACAGTGCGGTGGACTGCTCTTCGGAGTCGCGGACAATTTGTTTTTTCTTCAAGTACAGACTTTGAGTGTTGTGCGCGCGTGCCGGCTCACCGGCGACGATTAAAAGGGCGGCCGGCAGACCGACCGACCGTGGCCAGCCAAAGCCTGCGCTTCTACCGCTATTGATTGAATAACATCATATAATATAATGATAATAACGATTGTGACGATTATAGTAATAACAATAATAAACGGTGTATTTTTGGCGACGGCTATGTGGACGGTCGTTGCCGGGGCACCTCTGCCGCGAGCGCGCCGCGGCCGGCCTCGTGTGAAAGTCGCCGTCTTAGCTGTTACTTCTTCCGGCGCGAAGAAAGTAAACGGCGGCTAGTGCGTTTGCAGGGTGGTAGGGGCGGACGACCTTGCCCGGGCACGGTTTGCGGGTAAATCCGATATAAAACGCTCCGGAGGATGGTCACTGCATGTCAATCGGCAACGGACTTGCAGACAACGTGGGCAAAGTGAAAAAAGTGAAAAAAAAAAAAAAATTTTGTAAAAAAACGCACACACAGGAGCGGCATAAACACACACACACACACTATGGATCGCCACCAAATTGTGGTCAGTACAGTAACTATATTATATTATATTATTTTTTTAATTTTATTTTTTAACATTACACCGCGTGTAAAATAATAAGTATTATACATACGTTTAGCATGATTTTTTTTTTTGTTTTTAAATTTTTTTTGTTAATTAACTCGTGTTGTGTTTTTTACAAAATCGAAACTAGTGATGCATTCTTTTTTATTATTATTATTATTACCGTCGGAACACAATATATAACTCGGATGTGTACCCAAGTCGGTCGCGGCGCACGAAAACTTTAGCAACACAAAATAATTATATGTACCTAATATGATTCTGGCAACGCACGTTTGTACTTATATATTTTTTATTATTATTTTTTTTTTTTAAACCGTTTATCTAAGTTTTGGCTGTGGAAAGTGACTGCATTTGTGTTTACCGCGTTTCCGTTCGCACCGAAATTTCTCCTCCGAACCTTCGCGTCCCTTACAAAAGTTAATGTTCCCAAAATCATTTCAATAGTATAATTTATTAATAATACATTCAAATGTTACTATACATTAGATATTTTAGTTCTCTTGGGCTTGGTCGTACAATAGCCTACTGCGTTATATTCCCTATGTTTTTTTTTTTTTGTTTTCATTCGACCGACCGCACGTTTCCCACGCGCTTTCCCGTCGCGTTTCCGGAGACTTGAACGCCGGACCGCTGTAATAATTATATTATTATTATTATTATTATTGTTATCTATATTAAGTACACACGTGTTTTACCAGGTAATTACCGACGGGCCTAATAAAAAATACAATCGTATAATCGCGCATTACCCGTAACAGCAGAGCCGACTTAGCAGGTCGGCCATAACGCGCTCTTAACAATGATTATTATTATTATTATACCATGTACAGTGTGTCCCCCCCGTTCAACGCAGCTTTTAGTCAATGTTTAGTCAACATATAATGTTATATGTATGCACAAAAAAAAAAAACAATATTAAAAATTAACTAAGTTCAAAAAAAATGGAAATATGTTTTTAACAAAAAAAATCTACATTTTGCTTTTGACCAAACCATCAACTCCGATTACGATACTACGGTATGTGTGTAACATACTGTACATAATATATAATTAATAACAGAGCTGCTATATAGTCTATAGGCAGAGAGAGCTAGTCGATCCGTTAAGTTTTTTTTTTTTTGTTTGTGGAAAATCTTTTAATACCGTTTTAGATGTTACCGCTAGACCACCGCCATAAATCCCATATGTATACCTCCTAACTACCTGCTAGTTGGAAATCGCTATAATAACGACCGGCGCATAAATAGTCGTTTTCTTATTAACATTTAACATATATACATTGGGCGGTACGTTAAATCGCACGCGTTATCAATTACCGGGCCGGGTAACCCGTAAGTCGGCTATATAAATAAAAAAAATAAAAATGTTAGCCGGCTCGGATCAAGTTTTTTAGGTCATTTCTCTACTGGTTTTCACGTTACCGCGTGTTGGCCGACTCGGCGCAGACAAACAACGTTATACATTTTAACATTTTAGACCGGTATTTTATAATATACATGTTGTTATTTTTTTTTTTTTTTGAGGGGGGGGGAGGGTGAGGGGGCAACTGCACAATACCGTCGTGGTATTTACGGATGTATGCAATTTTAAACCGTTTCTTGCGGGTGGCGTTATCGACTTTACAGCTTGCCAACCGCGCAGGAAACGCATATCAAAACGTCATTTATCATCGCAGAGATCGACACGCGCCGTCCGTGACAATGATCTAGCCGTTATTCGTCGATCGTCGCGTAACGACATCTCGTGTAGGTAATACAACAATTATTACCGACGGGGTCAGCGGCCTCAAGTGCGGCTACCGCGGCAGCTTTGAAGCTCTGTCGATCCCCAGCCGGTGGCGCAATCGTATGGATACCGTGGACAATTGGGTTTTTTGGCACATCGACAACTGTATAGTGATTGACAACACTAGGTGGAGATTTCCTGGGGTTTTGCGTGCTGTGCTTCCCCCCCCCCCGCCTCCGCCCGCACGGTAGTTTACGGCAAACCAGTTGGAAACAAGTGCGGTGCAATTGCATGTAGACATCTCGCTTTTACCCGTAAGCCGTGCCGGCACTTAGGGACCGCGACGGTCACTTTCACCGGGGACGAGAGACGGCGGTGCTGTAGGCATGTGTGTGCGGTGCGGTTATGCAATAGCAGGGACGCGTGGGCAGTGTAGATGCAAACGGTAATTATAGGAAATAGTACGGATTGTTGTAAGCGCGGGATTCGAGCAAAAACGACCGGACGTTGCGCAACCCGGCGGCTTATATATGGGTACAGTAGTGTATTATGCCTTTTTTTGCACTTTCCCCCGGGTAACGTCAAGACCGGGCGTTGATCGAATGCGGTGCGGTCGACAAAATTGTGTTACAATTATTACAACTTGAAATCGCTACTGACACAATATTATATATAGAGCTGGCCGAGCCTACAGCGGAAAACGGAAACATATTATATTAGTAGGCATACGCACTTGCCAAGAGCTGTACAAGACGTGTACAACTAGTTTTCGCCGCCGTGGTGGTACAGTCGCTGTCCCGAAGGCTGTGCACGTTTTTTGCTTGGTAGTTTTTTTTTTATAGTTTTGGAGGGAACAAAAATGTGGATCACACGACCGCGTGCCGTAAGCGGGTGAAAGTCTTGTACGAGCGAGATCAGCTTTTTTTTTTTCTTCTTCTTTCAGTTCGTGATTTCCGGATATCTGCACACATATAGGTGCACACATAAACAATGTATACACGCTATATAATAACATAATATATATTATGATGATGATGATGATGTTCTAGCTAAGGTGTTGTAAAAAAAAAAAAAAAAAAACGTTACACGCGTTTTGTCCAATGTCAACCAAAGACGAGCTGTGGTGCGGTGAAAGCGCGGGCACAATTTTTTTTATTCATTCGAGGCGATATGATAATTTTAATAATTTTTTGGGGTTTTTCTCAGGTGTTCCTGGCGCTCTTGGCCAACGTCGCCCTCGTCTGGTCAAAGGCGGTCGACTTGCCCCAACGGCAAGTGGTGGCCTTCCCCAAAGACCAAGCAGCAGAGTCCAACGTCCGCGAAAAGAAGTCGCTCAGCAATTACCAACAAACCGGTCTGCAGTAAGTTTCTATCACTATCCGTCCGTACTCGATATATATATATATACCCACACACATATATACATATTAATCCGTTAGATAACGCAAACTATATACATGTAACCGATCAGTACCGGCGACTGTATTTACTGAAAGCGCACTTTTAACTATTTTTTTTTTTTTTTATAGAACTACATAATAACTAATGGGAAATCTCACTTGTTTTTTTTAATTTATTTCATTTTTTTTTACACGCTCGCTATACCTACATACATTTCTCTCTCTCTCTCTCTCTCTCTATCGATCGGTTGAAAATAAGCCCTTCACGTTGAGACTTGACCGAGGCAGTTTTTCCTGTTCACCGCGCGATAGTCGTTTGGCTTGTGTTTTTGGACGCGTTCTAAATACATATCGTAATAGAAAACGACCGGCCGGACGTATTATGTATAATATTTCGATTCTCTGCTAAACCGTTGATTAACACATATTAGTACATTAGTCTTGACCGCCGGGTTCTTAACGTGGTTGGCTCGACGAGAGACATGTGTGGTCTCCGTCTGTTTTTCATCGCTTATCCGATGGCAGACCGGCTGCACTTGCTGCAAACACAGAGTGAAAACGAAAAACAACAACACGGCGTTTTCTCCCATCACTCGAGGGCACAAAAATAGTATCTACAAATTACACCTTGTCCGCGGCACTCGAGTGAAGTACTTCACATGCTTATTGTAAGTCCTCCTCCCCTCCCCCCCCCCGGGGGGGCTCTTCCGATTGTTCTTCTCCCGAATCACGACGGACCGCGAGCATAACAACAATCGGCTTTGGTCGTGCGAAACCAATGCCGCCCGCGCGGTATATTTAAATGGGATGTTTACGAAAACAACTGTATAATTACTGTCGGCCGGTCGAGAATACAAAAAAAAAAATATACACAGGACACTCTCGAACGGCGTTTATAATATATATATATACATATAGGAACTCACTCAATATAGCGGCGTGTGTGTATTACAATAGAAACGATATATACAGACAATATTGACAATAAACAAACAACAGGTATTTATGAGGCGCCGTGTTTACAATATGTTACTATTATTATTATTATTATTATTGTTATTATCGCAATAATAATATCACGATGACAAACGTTGCTCGAGACGACAGCGACGATAAGATGAACGTTCGTCGAAAAGAAAAAGAAACAAACCGTCTGAGTAATATTTTTTTTTTCTTCTTTTCGGCACACACACTCACGTTAAATCGACTACTTGTTTTCTTTTTGCGATAGACTACACAAAGACTTTTTTGTAACCGAACGACAAAACACCGACCAAAAAAAAAAAAAAAAAACCACCACTGACATGAGTATGACTTCGTTCGGTAGTTTGCCCAGTAGTAACGCTTGTATTTTTGTTGCATGTATTTACACAGGCAACCGGTTCAGCTGCAGCAGGCCGAGGAACGCGTCGGAGTCCCTGACGTCGGCTACGGCGCCGTCGACGATCACCATCACCACCACGAAGAGCACCACCCTCACCACGAGGAGAAGCTGAAGGGCTACTGGAAGAAGAAGCTCATCTGGAAACCGGACTGGGTGAAAACGTGGAAGCCCGGCAAGAAACAGATATGGAAACCGTCGTGGAAGAAGATCTGGAAGCCCATCTGGGTGCCGACCAAGAAGCAAGGCTGGAAGGAGGTGCACGTGCCGGTGTGGAAGAAAATCCACAAGCCCGTGTGGGTGCCGATCTCGGTGCCGGCGTGGAAGGAGATCAAAGTGCCGGACTGGAAGAAGATCTACAAGCCCGTGTGGGTGCCCATCGAAGTGCCGGCGTGGAAGGAGATCAAAGTGCCGGACTGGAAGAAAATCTACAAGCCCGTGTGGAAAATCATTAAAGTGCCAGCATGGAAGGAAGAACACGTGCCGGACTGGCACAAAATCTGGGTGCCGGAGCTAGTCAAGTCCTACGTTCCCGGATCGAAACACTTGGGCAAGGACTACCACGGTTGGGAGTACGAGGCGCACGACCTGTGGAAGAAGAAGGTCGTGTGGAAGGTGCACTGGAAGAAAGTGTGGAAGACCGTGAAAAAACAGGTGTGGGTGCCCGAGAAGAAGTTGGAATGGAAGGAAGACTGGGTCCAGGTGTGGAAGCCGGCCAAGAAACAAATATGGGTCAAGGACAAGAAGTTGGCGTGGAAAGAAGCGTGGAAACAAGTGTGGCGCACCGAGAAGAAGCAGATCTGGGTGTCCGACAAGAAACTCGAGTGGAAGGAAGACTGGAAACAAGAATGGAAAACGGAGAAACACGAAATCTGGATTCCGGACAAGAAGCTGGAGTGGAAAGAAGACTGGAAACAAATCTGGGTGCCGGACTGGAAGGAAATCTGGCTTCCGGCGTGGAAGAAAATCTGGAAGCCCGTGTGGATATCCGAATGGTTCCCGATCGAGGAACACCATCACCATCACGATGAGCACCAAGACGCTCACGGCGGATACAAGAAATAATCAAGACTGAACTGTTTCGCATCACCAACTACCTACGTTGTGTACATAATATGAATACATCAATTTGTAAATATTGTTATTATTATATATTAAGTTGTTAAAATGTGTTTTTATACTTCTAAACTGTTAGCGTTGTAAGCAAACTGTCTTTAACTTCCACTCCCGTTTTCCACCCTTGTTTTATTTTTTCATTTCCCCTTCTACATAGACCCCATTTGAAACAACTCGGCGATTGTTCTTCGTTTTCGCTATGTATAAATAATATATTAAACTTTTTTTTTTTTAGCTTTAAGACAAACTAAATCAAAATATATAATTGTTTTTTTTTTAAATAATATATTGTACCGTCCTGAATAATAAACATATATATATATATATATTATATGAAAAACAAAATAGAATACAAAAAGTTATTCAATGTGTATAATATATACTACTATACGGACATTTCCTTGGACCTCATTCATGCTTACTTGTTTGTTTGCACTGTGTGTACGGCTTGGTCAAACAAAATGTACTTTTACTTTTATGATATTATAGGTAGGTACAATACCATAGAAAATGACTCGGTCATTAATATGTTGTGGCGGCTATCATAATGCATAATATATACAACATAATAATATCGTATACTGTATACCTATAGTATGTCTGACGTGGGTGCGCAACGCATGCAACACACTGTATGGGAAATAGTTTTGCAATCGATAATAATTGACAAAATACATTATTATCCGTACCCAGGGAATGACCGAACTTAACAAAAACGCGTATAGGGGAAAGTAAGTATGCGCCGGACAAAAGATTTTCAAACAATTTAATTGCAATCCGTCCAAATACCGCCGTAAGACTAAATTATCTTGCTTCTAATTCGCCATTCGTGTGAGACGGTACGCGAAAGCAACAACACAACGGCTACTGACTACTGATTAAACATAAAAAAAAAACCCCCGTCTAAGTAGAAATTTGTTTGTAATTTGGTATTTTTCCGTACAAGGGTTGGTATATGCGAAAAATTCAATTATCTTTGTCCCTATTAGGTAAATTATAGAACCAGAAACAAACTAAATTATCTTTTGAGTTTCGAGTCATAAGTAGAAAGAGGAAAAGAGTATCATTCTGCTACTAAAACTATTGTGGTTGCGCTTTACTTATGAAAAAAAAAAAATCAACGAGTATACTTAGCTAAAATGTATTGTGCTATGACAAATTTTAGTTACTTTATATTATTTTGTATAAGGCTAAGTTGGTATTGGTTTGCACGTGTAACTTTGTTTTAAATTTACTCGACTAGTAGCTAACAGCAAATGTTTCTGTTAAAAAAATAGCTATACCGGAAATACTCTTCATCACTGTTATAGCACATTATAATAATATTTACTTTTCAAAATACCGACGTCAAGCAGAGCTAGAAAGTAATTTCAAAAATTGTATTTTATTGCATTTGGGTGTATGAGATTTTCGAAATTCTGTAATGTCCAACCGAATTTGCCCGACTCTGCTACAGGATTGTAGCCGAGTAATTGAAATAATTCCAAAAGTACACGGTAACAGATTAAAGTTACAGACCGTACATTGTAAAGGCGGTGAAAGTCACCGTTTGTTGTCGTCGATAAAGCCCCCTCCTCCCCTCAGGTAATAACAATATTCAAACGCCTGTATATAATAAGACGTGTTAATAATAAGAATAATATTATTATCTTATTGTTAGCCGATAGCTGATTATAGCTGATGTGGTGCCAACGGGCTCGGTCAATTATTATTATTGTTATTATAGTGGCCATCACGTAATTCGAATTACCAATATTGGCCAAGTATATGCGTTTTTTGCTTATAAGAAAAAAAAAATAGCTCTCGTTCAAAAGAAAATTCCTCGACCCCTCCCTCTTTTCCTATAAAATAATGTGTAAATATTACACATTTTTTATCCGCCAAAATTTACCTCTGTGTCGATTTCCCTATGGACAATCCCCTCTGGTGTGTGTACCTACCTACTTCTGGTACGTCTTGTGTTACTCGGAAAGACTCAATGTCAATATATTTTTTTTTAAATTCTTTTTTAACGCTAACACTATATTATGTAGATAGGTATAAGTTACAACAGCACCATCAGCGCAGGTAATGTATTACTGTGTTATGCGCGGCGTGTGTACCTATTATGGTAGTCATATTAGTGTTTATTAAACCCTATATAATATAATTATACTGTACCTAATACATTGACAATATGAAGCAGCCAACTGTTATATAATCGCTTTTAGAAACCGAGATTGATAATAATTTAAAGTTCTCTATTTGTGCTATTGTTACTCGTAAAATACCAATTTAGTTCAGAGATTATTTGACACAATTTTGCTGCATGTAATGATTTTTGACTCAAACCATAATTTCTGGTTTCTGGAAAAATAAAAATCTTATACTTGGATATTGTGTGTTCAAAAAATAATACGAGTAATGTAAAACAAAAACGACTGACCTTAAACTGTCGCTGTGAATCATTGTCTCCATAGGTATGGGTGGCCGCTATACCGACTATGTTCCAACATGACTTAGGCATTTCATGTGTGACAGGTTTGTTATATTATGGTGTACAGTGTACACTATATTTTTTTTTCGGTACTTTCCGTTTTGAAATGAATAAATGTCGAAAATATTATATTAAACACTTTTAAAAAAATCTACAAGTACCAATCAACGTTTAAAATGTACACATTGCGCTTGCCAAATAAGATGGGCAAATAACATACCTACCAAAGTAGTAGACTTGCAAGTCATCAGTCCCATTTACATAGTAAATATTGTATTCGCTCTTACGTTGCCTAAAATTAGATACATTACCACCTACAATAGTTAAAATCGTTTGCTGACATTTTTTTTTTGGAAAATTTTATTCACATAGGCGTGCCCCAACCAATTGAAACGTTATTAGAAAATTCCGACGACACCTCTAACTGTTCATAGCAACAAAAAAAAAAAAAATTAATCAAATTAAAAAGAGAAAACGGTCTGGGAAAAAATGTCGTGCGATATTATTTGATTAGGATACTGTTATATTATGCATAATCGCGTTATTGGTGTAATATTTATCAGGATGTGACGGTGAAATCCGGTTCCAGCGTGTAGATCATAGATCTTAAATGCATACATACATAGTATATTATTAAGATCTACGCGTAGGAGTAGATTTACCTAAACATTAACGTAGGTAGGTAGGCATATTTTCGGGAAAAATATTCGGAAAATGAGTTTCCGTTTTTCAAAGGAAAACGACAAAATGTGAATTGCATAAAAAATCTATAATGGTCCGACGATAAAACCCAAGCGTGGGATAAACTGCGATGAAATGTTTAGGTACATGTTTAACATACTTACAATCACTTCTTGCTTATATAACAATTTAAATTGCCAAACCTTGCAAAAAAAAAAAAAAAAACACCATTCTAACCAACACTAAAATGAGTAGATTACTAAAACGGTTATTGGAAAAGATTGTAATTACAAAGGTAAGTGTTACAATTAAAAAACAATGCGATCTTAAGTAATTCATTTCCGGTTGAACCGCGACACATTTGTGTTATTTAATAGAATCGACGGTTCGACTTTTGTGGTGCGGTTAACAGCTACTAATACATAATAAAAGAGAAGTGCTGGCTGTATTAAACTTGGCGTGCGAACCGACAGGCTTAAGAAAAAATGAGTCTGCGTTAAATGTATACTATATGTTTTCAACAATAGCAACAATGAATGGGTAGCTAAAAGTTCTCATGGTATACAATACATTCGAGTTTATCTGGAAATTGTGCATGCTAATATTATATTAAATAGGTTGCCGAGAGAAACGTTTGTAATTTGTATACATATATTATTGTGTAGGAAATTAATTTTTTTAAAAACGTTGAAGTAGTTCATTAAAAGCAGGCAAACAAACATCAAAGGGTTGAAAAATTGAATTTTCTATATTCTACTTTTCATTTGGCAAACAAATTTCAATACATAAACAATTTTGACAGACATAAATAAATTAGTATTGACTAGGAGAAGAAGATGATGGAGTGGAAGTAGAATATTCTCAAGAATGTTTATGCACTGTTAAGTTCATAAAAATTTTGACATTTTTTTGCCAACCTTATTGAAAGTTGAATCGTTTTACTGATGACGATGATAATAATTAACTCGTGACAATAACAATAACGATTTTAATAAAACACATTACGACTACAATAGACAATGGTGTACTGAACGATGACAGCTCATAAAAAATAACAATGATTTACAGCCTATTAGTTTTTATAGTAAATCATACTACGAAGGTACCTACGGTGTCTTATTATACCCAACACCTCATATTTACCTATGGCGATTGTCACTAGAAATGCCGGTTTAAACGACAAATCAAAACGCATAAATAATTTAATTATCATAGGTATCAAATAACCAATTGGCCGTTAAGAGAATGTGTGAAAACATGATTTGAGAGCATGAATACTGCATAGTAGTCAGTTGAGCCTAAGTATAGTAATTAAAATCATAAAATGTTCATACAATAAAAGACAGAATAATATAATAGAGAATATTATGTCAAAAACTTAAAAATGTTTATGAACACATAGCGTTTTCCGATATTTACTATGAAAATTTGTAGTTTTACTACGATATAAAACGATAAACATGTATAATATAGTGGTGTAACGAGTGATACTGTTTCACATGTAATTTTATTATTATATAATATACTGAAAATTAAATTTTTTTTCATGACTTTTTATTATTTGTCTCATAGCTAATAATCGTGAAGTTGATTACCTCTAAAATTGTTATTATTTACATATATACATATATTTTGTCTTAATTTCTCAAATTTCATAAAGACTCTGAGGGGAAGTTTATAAGTTCTTTTAATTACAATAGTGCTTATTTACAAAGTTTTATTTAATATGATTTCACCAAATTTTTCTGCATAATGTATATTATTATCTTCTATTGTTACTAAAATTTTAAAAACTACTAACAAAAACAGGACGGTTTAAAATATTGTCTGTCTTCTTAATTATAAGTCTTAATTTTTCCAAATAATGTAAAAAATTGTTAATATAAAGAGACAATTTAAATAAATAGTTTGGTAAATTAAATAATTGTAAAAGTTGACAAATGCCTTATTGACGTACACTAGAATTTGTTTACAAAAAATTGTTAATTACAGTTAAAGCTTAACGCCTAACGGGCAATGAGTAAATAAATATTTAATTTAAAATGTCAACATAAGTATCATCATAATAATAAAATATACATAATAGTGAAGTATAAAAAAAAAAAAAAAAGAATCACAATACCACAAATTCAGCATAGCTCTTGTCCAAGGCTTTTCTTAAAAATTACTTATTACTAAGAAGGACAAACCGTATATTTTTACTTAAGTTAATTATCAAAATGTTATTATACACTCAAGTTTTTGGTTTAATTTCTTCAACATTCAATAGAAAGATAATTTAAGATTACAATTAAAATTACAAAATTAATAATAAAAAAAAAACCAAATAATATCAAAAATAGGTCAGACTTAGGTCTTGATTTTTCAAAATAATATATTGTTATACAAGTATCATGCTCTGAAACAAACCGACAAAATGATTAATTAAAGATTTTTCTTTTCTATAATGTGTTAAGTTCAGGTCAATTATAAAGTATTTAGAGTTGAAAAAAAACCAAACCCAGAAAATGGGTTTTATAGGCTTATGGATACCCAGAAAAAACTTAACTGGGTAGAGCTTTCTAAAAAAAAACTCATGTTATAGTCAATTTTGAAAACATTACAATAATTGCCCAAACAAAACATGTAATTAAATTCAAGTATATTGTGACAATATTCTAAAAATATTTGTTTTCTACATTTTAATAACATTAATTAAGAACAATATTTTGTGAATATAATTCTTTTTGTTTTATTGATCACAATATAATCAATTACGTGGAAATAATAATGTTTAATACTTACCAAGTTATTCACAAACAGTATTCAAACAAGTTCTTTGCGGGCGGATTGAAAATCTCGGGCTGTGTGGGACGGTAACGGGCTTTTCTGATTTTCTTATCATAACTGGTTTATATTTTTTTATTGGTATCGGCTTGTGTACAGTTTGTTGTCTTAAATTTTTCAACGATTGCATTTCCTGTCTTTTAAATTCTTCTTGTCTCTAACGAGGCACAAAAACAATAACATGTACAGAAAAAAAAATACATTGACCAAATAACATATCTCAATTTTACTTACTGCTTTTGACATTTCTTCGTAGTGTGAAAACTTTTCTTTTATTTCTTGTTCAAAAACCATCCATTCTTTAGCCCGTCTTTCGGTATTTAAACAAACATCTTTTGCTTTTGTACATTTCTGCTCGTGTTTTGGCACAAAAGGTTTCTTTTTAAGTACAGTGGCAGGTCGCGCTTTGAACATCCACTGAGCGTTTTTGTTGGAGACCTGAAATTTTACATTCAACTGTTAAGTACTCTAGTTTACGACTAACAAAGTATCGGTCATCAGTCAACTAACGTCGGACTTCACAATAGCGGTCGATTTACGTGATGCGAAGCTAAACGGAATAGGAACTGTATGCAGTTGTTTTTCTTGAACTTTAATGCCGCCGTGACCGAGCTCTTTATTTTCGACCACTTGAACACCGTCGTGTGAATTGAGAATTTTGATTTTCTGAGTTTTGGGTGGCTAAAAAAAAAAAATTATTATTTTAATTACATAATTACAAATTGGTTAGTTGAAATGATATACTTACCATTTTCATATTAGCAAGAGGATCCTGAGAGTTAAAATTTATGTTCGGTATATTTTGTCCTAAATTGTAGTCGTTTCCATTACTAAATTTATTTGATTAAAAAAAAAACCGCTATTATTTATATATTACAAGAACAAAACAAATTTTAGAAGATGATGAAGAGTATTTATAATAAAACTTTTACTTTGTTTGTTTGTTTTCAATAATATTGCGATTATTACTTGATGTGGTTGACATGCCATCTTCGTTATAAGAAAGTAAACGAATGTTACTACTAGGTTTCAACACTTTAGAACCTAAGCATAAATCAACAATTTTATTATAAAATAAACTTTAGGTTAGAAATATTATGAAATTTTGCAAATAAAGCATAATGGTTTACTTATTTATGGATAAAAAATCGAACAATTTATTTTCATGCATAGAAAAATCGAATAAATATATGTTGCGAATGTATCATAACTATATCGTAGTTACTAACGTTCTACTAGTTGTCATGCAAAAGTTTAATCTTCTAAAATTATGGAACTACTGGAAGTACAAAAGTTAAGAACTGTTGTGTTAATAATAGAAAGCAAGAAGTCAGAACGACAAGCAGCGGATTTTTACCGACTCACCAGCTCGAATAGTGGGCTTAGAATGAAATCTAGGTGGTGTATCGTTGAAGAAATGTCTCACTTTTTCAGCTATACTCATGAATTTTTTTGTACTTTTATTTAAAATAATGCTTTCTTGCGAACCTGATTCTACTGTTTCATATTTGTAATCAGATTTTATCACAGAGCGAGAGCGTAGGTCCAGTTTTGGCGTCTTTTCTAATTCATCTAATCTGGTGATCATGGCGTGGTGTTTAATGCGAGGCAATTCAACTTCAATGCCTTCTACTGTTATTGAGTGTCTATTGTGTAATTTTGAAGATCGCGGTTTTTTGGCTGAACGAATCAACTGTTGCGCAATCGAGCTAAAACATACAAAATTACTTTAATGTAAATTGCTATATGGTCAAATCTACTTAATAACGAAAATATTATTAAAAATTAACTTAAAATCTTTCAGATTTAAAAGTATTTTTCTTTAACAAAATAACAAAACAAATATAAATATCCACAAAAAATCGTTCTAAATTAAAAATGTTCTAATCGGAAAAACCTATTAAAACAGCCACATTTCAGCAAAAAACAAAGACCAATAAGAAAAACACATGCTGCTGAATCATTGACTATTCAGCTCTGCATTAAAATTTATACACATAATATTAACATTAATATGACGAAAATACATACTTAATATTATGTTGGTCAAACAAGTCGGGAGCATAATTTTCTTTGTTTTCCTCAAATTCCTCATCATCATCATACTGCGGTCGCTCTTTGTTATTTCCCAAATCGGGTTCAGATTTAGCACTCTCCATCTTTTGAGCAACTATATCTAAATTCATTACAAACAAAATAAATCAGACAATTTATATGCAATTTGTAGGGCTTGCGGTTTTGAACAGGTAATAAAATGATGTGTTTGTTTAATTAAGGTAATATCCTAGTTAAAACTTCGGTTAATTATTTAGACGCATACCCATTGTAATCGTAACTTTTAACAATAACCATTATAATATTATACGTAGAATAATAATAATTTTACAAATTATAAGTTTACTAATACAATATAAATAATAGATGTTACATTATCGATGTAACATTATTATATTAGGATTAATGCAAAATCATAACAAAAATCAGTAAGAACAAGTAATAAAATTGTTAACTACGTCTTTTTGTTTGAAAAACAATGAAAAAAAATCATTAAAATTCGAATATTACAAACGATATGGATTTTAAAAATTGAATTTTTCACTAAAGGACAGAATTGTTGCTAGCTGTTGTTTTGATGTCATTTTGCCTACCGAAAAACTTATCAGCTCCGTCGTCACCGGCGTTGGCCATTTCGTACAAGTTAGCGTACGTCTTGGGAGCGTCAAACTCGAATATGTCGTCCTTATTCATTTTTATTTTTTGGTTTCAATAGTTCACAACTCACACTACACAATTAATATTAATAAAAATATCGAAACGACTTTGTATGGCTCACCAAACCACGAGCATAACAAATACAGTTAGAACTGTCGACAACAAGCACACAACAACGAAACGGGATGGGTTGTTGAAAAATAACGATGGCACTTGGCAATTTTGGTCAATGGACGGCCATTGGGTATCCCGACCGTTTATCAGTGTTCGGTTGGGCCGCCGCCCGTTATTATGAATTTCGAAAAACCGACGCTCCCATTGGCCGTCGTCGCGCACTGTTGCCAACCGCTGACAATTAATGCTACCAACCACACACACACACGGCAGACAGCCGTTTGAAACACAACAAACACACGCTTCCTATAGACAAAGGTAGAGAGCCTTCTTATATACGACAAAGGTGTTTTCTTTTTTACAATCAACACAATTACAACAGCTGCTGTCTGCTCCTAGCCGGCCGCAGGTGTTTTTACTTTTTACCCACCGACGGTTGTAAACATGTCTGTACTTGTCGTTATCATTAATGCATGGTACAAAATATAATTGTGTAGTAAAATTTAACATTATAATATCACTTGTGGCACTCCATAGAACACTCCTCAGTCCTCTCACAATTTTTTTTGAAAATTAATACCTAGTCCAAAAGGCCTGGAGGTAGTGGCGTAGGAACTAGAAAACCTCAACCATGCCCCTGGCAAATAATGAAAAGTATGCGCTTCGATGAAAAATACAAATTATATTAATAAGAGTGCCTTGGAGTTTTTGGAACTGTTTTGATAAAAAAAAAACGATTAAATACTTATAATATAGTCATCATTAATATAACTTAACGGGGTTTATCCATTCGGTGAAACGTTAAAATCAGCTATATAGTACTCTAAAACTTAAGTTAAATATACCTTCTAACATAGGTGTTACAAAGTTAACGCAGAATATTATAAATGGAAAACAAATAATTTAATTTAAAGCTTAAAATGTTACCCTGAAGTGCCTATTTTTTTTTTTACTTATGGTCAAGTCAAGGCTTTCTTAAAATAGTTTTGAAAAAGAATAAATGTGTAACACCTACCAATATTCAAGTATCTTAATAATATTATTGTATACTACCTATTACTAATGTTAAATAAAATGTGTTATACAACTTACGTTTAAATCGTGTCTGCATGCGCTCTTGAATAAAATTAACTACATATTATCTCTATAGGTAGGTAAATCACTTCTCATTCTCAGATGAATACTGGCTAGATAGTGTAAAACCGATAAATATTTAAAATAAAACGGTAATTTCCACCAGTAGCGCGTTTAACAATAATATCATTAATCATTATACTACATTGTTTGGACCCAACGATCGACTCATAATATTAGGTGTATATATTTTACAATTTCAGGCTAAAAGTATATAAATGTGATGCACAAATTTGATTTATTTATGATTCCGGCAAAATTACACAAACATTTATAAAAACAAGTATGGCTAAAGTTCGAACTTCCAAGTTTCAATGCATCGTACATTATAGATAGAACCTGAACACCTGAAATAAATTATCGTAGGTAATTGTAACACTTGACACAATATACTATATTTCATGTCACTTTGAAAATAAATCAAAACAAAAATTACATATATTATGATTCTTATACGTTGGGTGAAATTACGATGGAATTCAGTTGTAATTGGATTTTTTTTTTTAAACAAATACATTTTATACAAAATTAGAATGACACATAATCAATGTTAACATAACATGGTATAACGTTTTATCTATGCACGAAGCAAGTACTTGCGGGTATATCTGAAATTGTTTTCTGAACCGATTCAAATGATGGCATACATTTTTTGGTATCCATTTTTATATATTTTCATTAATTCTTGCCAACTCGCATTGAATTTGATTTTGGACGTCTAAAACTAAGTTTCTGGCAAAATCTAAAAAAGGTATACAAGCACAAGTTAATACTTGTAAATTTTACCAATAAAAAGAAGTCATTTTTTTTAATGGCCGTGGCTTCGTCTGATTAGTTTGAAAGGTACAATTTATTATTCGAAAACGACGTAAACCATCCAAACAAGGCTTTTTCAAACATTTTTTTGGGGTTTAAATTCCTTAAGAATGCTACATTTTTACAATTGTGACGAAGTCCATTTTCATCAACACAACTGTACATTTTTTAACCAGGCTTAACATATATAATTAAAAAAAAAAGATAACGACTAAAGGGATTATATTTATAACAATATTGTACAAATTATATTATCATATTACCGTAACAAAGAAGGTGATGATTTTTACACAAGTAAATATCTCGTTATAGGTGTTGAGAAAGTTCTCTTAGCGGCAGTCGGATGGTTGGAAAAAATATATCACATCGACTTATACCACAACGCCACAGGAAATAAGGTTACTGATAATTTCACAAAAACTAACTACAAATACATTTTAAAAATAAACAAAACATATATTTTTATTTTATATTAAATTACATTTCATAAAGAAACAAAATATATTTAATTTAGTTACAAATTAGTTTTTTTATATTAACACTTAAAAAGTAGACTTACGTAAAGTTTAAAAAGACTGTACAATAAAGTAAAAATAGGCTACATGAAGCTCTTGGTAGCAGCCTTACTCCTAACATTTTTAACGTGGACAAAAACAATACATAATATCCATAAATCACAGTCGAATCAGTTTATTTCCATTTACGTGTTTACAAAATATTATTAAATCTGTCAACACTGTACAACAAATGTATATATAAAAAAAATGATAACAATACAATAACTACTTATTGGCGTGAACAAAATATAAATGGAAATAAACGGTCTGAATTAAATAAAAAAGTCTCTTAACTAGAATTAGTAATATACTTTTTTTGTTTTAATTAACATAACATAAATGTATTTTGTTATAAAATACATTTCTTTGAAAAAGGAGTGAGCCTGCTGGATTTTCGATTATATCCAATCGAAGAACGTCATAGCCTGACCCACAAGAATATCACAGATATACAAAACCACGTATAGCTACGTTTTAAATACTAGAAATGTATTTAACACATTGTTACAACAATTAAAAAAAAAAAAAAAATTATAATCGTAATAAGTAAAATATAATGTTTTAAAACATAATTATTTTACGGGGCAATAAGAAGTAGAAGAGGATCAATTGAGAAACTATTGATTATTAAAAGAAATTCCTTGGGTCAGACTCCTTAATAACTAAAAACTTAAAAAAAAAAAAATAACTACTAAAATAATAACTTTATAAAACATATACAATTTACAACTTTCGATACCACGGTTATGATAAAAATATTATAAAAACAAGTTGCAAGTGTTTTTTGAACATGACCCCCATTAGCCCAATTTACGACACTACTAGGTCGGTGTAATATCTTACGACTTATCAATGTACATAATAAAAAAAAGAAAATAAATTTGAAAAAAAAAACAAGAGTTGTAGTTTAAAAATTAAACTATCAATTATTTACTTCTCGACGGCAACGTCGAAAATGTTAATTTTTGTTTTTTTTTGTTTAATGTAAAGTTACAATCCAATTTTAATTTTCTTTTAAAATAGCAAATCGTTTAATTCACCTGTTTACTAATTTAAATCATATTATTATACTCCAACAAGACGAAAAATATTATTATTCATTTGTAATGCAATTCTGAAACAATTAAATAAATAACTATTTTTATTGATATTGACTTGATGCAAATTAATTCGTGGAACTTTAACTTTAACAAGGAGGGCACATCGTTATTACAAATAGTACATTTCACCAGAATCAGACAGACTTTTAATTACATAATATATAAATGACTACGTCGAGTCGAATACAATCGAAAAAAATAAAATATAATAACCATGATATGGATAGCTAAATAATTTACAAAAATAAAAAATACATAATATTTACTATTATGTACAAAACCAATAAATTAACAAATATAGCCATATTAATAAAAATTAAGAATATTTTGAATCATGTCAAGATTTACAATAAACAAAAAATACAGTGGACTGTCTGTTCAGGATCAATACTGCAATAATTAGTCAATTATACATTTTTGATAGAAGTTGCATTTATGAAGTATTTTCTGTGGATATAGCATAAACATATTAGTATTACCGTAAGACTTGAAAGACTTAAAATTAAATAATACATCAATAATAATAAAAATGTATAATCAAATAGTTAGTAATTTTTCCGTCTATTTATGTATATAAATAAAAAGATGAACGCTTATGATAAATGATAAAAAATAAATTCGAAATAAAAAAATAAACGTTTTTGGAATAATAAAAAGTTTATACTAACATAAAAATTAAACGGGTAAGTACCATTTTTTTTTAAGCCAACAGTAAAGCTTACAACCAACAAAGCTATTAAAATAACAGGTATATATATGTATATATTTTGTTATACACTATTTCTATTTGATTTACAGTTATTAGGTTTATATAACAATTATTGTTTTAATAGACTATAAACTCCGTGTGAATAATAGTATAGTATAGTATATACTTATTAAAACATGTTAATTTTAAGTAAAATGAGCTACAAATTAGTAAGACACAGTTCAAATATTAAACTGTAAAAAAACTGTTAATAAACAAAACAAAAACAACGGAACTTACAAGTAGTAGTGTGGTCCGATTTTATCGTATCCTCCTGACAGGTTTCAAAATTTTTCTCTTAGTAGGTGGCTCCGAAGTTTCCGACGGTTGAGCACTATAACAAAAATAAAACCCCCGGTAATAATAAAAAACAAAGGTTTATAGTTTTAACAAGTGTACAACTTACGTGAACTGAGTGGTTGCACCGCCAGTGAAATTAATCGAAATTGGTGCGTTAGGATCAAGCTTAAGAGCCGGCTTTGCACTAGCCTGACTAAATAGATTTGATGAAGTCTTCATTTGGTCGTCCAACTAGAAATTAAACATTAGGTTAGATTATGAGAGCATGAATTTGTTTTATATAAATCACATTAAATAGATCAATTCAAAATTAATACCTGAACAGGTTTTGCGAGCGCATCGGAATTGTTCGTAGAACTGAATACTGGTTGAGACGGTGCACTAAACGAGAATACGTTATTAGTTGCCGATGCCAACGGGTTCGGTGTTTGAGTAAACGGTGTATTGTTATCGTTCACAGGCTTGGAAAAAAAACTGTTGGACGGAGGTACAGATCCAAAGTTAAAACTCGGCACTGAAATTGGAGGCATAACCGGTGCTATGGCAGCTGACGTAGTGGTCGCATTACCGAACACAGTATTACTTTGGTTACTGGCACCAAATAGAGGAACAGAAAACTTATTAGTATTTAAGTTTGGTGAATTAAAATTATCACTGTTAGATGAACCAAAAGAGAATGATTGCTTCTTTTGTTCACCGGGTGCAGTTTGTTCTTGCTTAGCTATAGATCCAAAACTGAATAGCTGAGGCGATTTGATGAAACCCGAATTGTCTTCACTCGCTATTTCTTTGGGTTGCGAATGACCGTTAACCATTTGCGATTTCTTCATATTAATCGACGGAGACGACTGTTTGTTGGTAGCTGAATTTCCAAAATCAATTTGTTTAGATTCGGTTATATCATTATTTTTGTTCCAAGTAAATGTTCCATTAGATTCTTCTTTTTTGTGTTCCCCAAACTGTGCGACTGAATTATTGATTGAATTGATACAATTTGTATTCGTGCTTCCAAAAGTGAACTGAGGCGCTTTTTCACATTGACTTTTTTCTTCTTTGGATTTTGACAGATTGTTGATGTTAATTTTCGTGTCTTCGGTCTTTGTAGAAAAATCACTTTTGTTGTTGGTCAATTTCATCGATTCATTAGTACATTTCTCAGCATTACTATTTTCAGAAGCCACTTTTTCGTGCGTATTAAGTTTGTCGGATTCAATACTTCCGGGACCAAATTTAAATTGTGTAATTGGCAAGCTAGGAGTCTGCTGATTTTTAAATCCAAAATTCAACTTATTTTCAGGTTGATCTAACTTATTATTAAGGCCGAATGTAAATGTACTACTCGGAGAAGGGTCGGCGGCGGTGGTTTTGTTGTCAGGCACACAATTGGTATTATTCACAGACGGTGTTGTAGTCCCAAATTTGAACGCTCCAAAAGACGAACTATCGGGGGTCGTGGAATTTACACCAAATTTAAATCCACTTGTTGGTTTCTCTCCATTCTCCGTTGCATCAAACTTGAACTGAGTGGCAGGTTGACCAGTTTTACTATTGTCCGCCCCAAACTTGAACTGAGCGGCGGCGGCAGGTTGGTCGTTTTTACTATTGTCCGGCACCAACTTTAACTGGGCGGCAGGCTGATCGTTTTTGCTACTGTCAAACCCGAATTTGAACTGATTGCTACTACTACTACTAGACTTATCAGAAGTATTATTATTCAGTCCGAAATTGAATTGAGCCGTTGGTTTTGGTTTAGATCCTGGTTTTGATGTTCCACAGGAAACACATGAGGTACAATCGCTCTTGTTGACAACCCAACAGGCATCACATTTCCAAGTAGCCGATTCTTGTACAATCTTTTTGGTAACTCCTGGTTTTGACGTTTGACATGCGACACACGCGTCGTTTTCGCTTTTGTTGGGGACCCAACAAGTTTCACATGTCCAAGTGCTCGGCTTGTTCACTTGTAATGGTTTTTGAACAGCGCCACCAGCTTTTGGCGTTTGACAAGCTACACAAGCATTATTTACACTGTCGTTGGAAACCCAACATGTGTCACACGACCACTTTTTGTTTTCGCTTGTCTTCACTAATGTGGTTGCTTCTTTTTTCTTATCAGATTCCTGTACGGTTGAAGTATTTCCAAAAACTAAACCATTTGAAGTTCCCAATTGAAAATTTGAGCTTGAGTGTGAAGGATTCCTTAAAACATCATTAAATGTTAATGGTTCGAATGAACTGTTCACTTTGATGACATTAGCAACAGTATCTACTTTCTTAGTAGAATTATCAACGACTTTTGAAGCAACTACTTGTTGAGTTGACGGTTTTTTAGCTGGAGGACTAAAAGCTTTGAAACTTTGTTTGGTATTATTACCAAGGTCGGTATTTATATGAATATCAGGCTTTTTATTGGCTGTGATTTCTAAGCTTTTGTGTTTTCTTTTTGATGTTTTTTCAACAACTTGTTTACTAAATTGTTCTATTGTTAGTGGTTGGTTGAATGAAAATTCATTATCGACATCATTGTTAGTAGCTAAGTTGATAATTGGTAATGCGGACACTGGTAAAGAAATGTTGGGCAAATCAACTTTGGTTGGCATTTCAAGTTCGTCTAAGTTGGTACCTCTACTTTTCTTCAAAATGTTAGCTCTTAGTTTTCGGGTCATATCATGTCCAGTACTTTGTTGCCTGAAAATTTCAATCAAAATTAATATTAAAAAAATAGCTTAATGAAGTGAAATTCTTTCAAGTCCAAGGCAAAATATTATCTATTGATACTAAACATACACTATCAATACAAACAAACAAAATTGTAACATTCAACTTCTTAAGTTAAAAAAAAAAATTCAATAAATTATGATATGCCAAATTTGAAATTAACCTATTACTAGGTAACAGGTAACTAGGTAATATATAAATGATCACACATATTCAATAAATCTATAGATGTAAAACGTCGCAGAAAAATCGAACAAAATAAAAACTCGAGGAGTTTAAACGTACACCTTGAAGTGATTAGAATTAACAAAACACTTATTAAACAATAAATTCTATCCAGCATAAAAGGTTGCAAAATAAAAACAGGAAAACTTATCAAATAACACTAGACAATATAGCAGCTGCTGCCACCAGTAAAAAAACCCAGTACAGTGAAGGGCCAGTGCATATTGGGTCGGAAGGTTAATACCTGTTGATTCACTTACACAAGCAATTCTCTCTCCCTCCCCTTTTTGGGTTTTTTTTTTAAAAATAAAAACCAAATAATCGACTAACTATTTTTAAAAGAACGCTGTAATTATAAGTTTAAAGATATTTGAATTATGTGGGTTTGATTTTGAAAGGGAAGGGGTGAAAAATTGTATATACTATACTCTACATAATACTGTTAAATAAATATATCAATAGTTGTATACTCACTGAACACTATTCTGACTACACTCAGTCTTTTCAGGTGTATCAACAATTCGCACAGTCGTTTCTACTCGAATCGGGATTGATTTTTGTTCTGCTTTATGTCTTATATTTACTTTAGGTTGAATAATAAATTTGTTTTCTTCAATGGCCTTATTCTAAAATTAAACAATAAACATTATTAAAATGATGGATTTTGATTTAAATATTTTATAAAATATTACACCGACACATAAAGTCCCTCGAGTCAGAATGAATAAATGCAGGACAATGCAGGAGCTAATCTCTACTTACCATTCTATTCATTTATAAGTCATCCTGAAAGGTAAAATAACCGTGTTAATCTTTAAGATTTTTGACAAAAAAAAAAAAAAAAAACTAACAATTATTTTATACCTTATTTTAAGAAAATAAACATTACACAGTCTAAAATGTATAATTATTTCGAACACATTCTTTAAACAATTACAGATAATGTTTTTTTTTTTAAGACATAATGATTACATTAACCGATTTTTAACTTTAACCTAAATTAATCTTAAATTATAAAAACTGAAGGTAAATATTTTAACATTTTTTTTTTTTACTAAAACGTCTTAAAGATTCACACTTTTATTTTACCCCAAGTGTAAAAACAGGAAAATAATTATATATTATTATATTTATCGATAACACAAATGCTCGATTATTATAACTTATCAAATAAATCAAGAAGAACACTAAGTTCTAAGAACAACATTTCTAATAAAACATATTATAATGACTAACCTTGGTAGAAATATGTTGTAATAGAATCGATGACGTGGTTCTAATCTCGTTGTTAGTGGCAGGAGATATTGGTATAACCGTTTTTCGATGAATCGGCGGAGTGTTACCGAGTATTTTAGATAAGTTTGAACGTGCAGAACCTCCTCCATACATGACTTGAGAACAATTCAAAGGAGATTTCTGGGCAAACAATTTCTGACGCTCTGATAACTGAAACCGTAATAATAATAAGAATAAAATAGGTACACAATATTAACTATATTAAATGAGCAAATCGATTTAGACCAAGAAATTACTAAAATTAACTATACGAACAATTTATTTTAAGCCAAACATCTATTTAAATTACCTCTCCGTAGTTTACAAACGTGTCCCATCGAAATGATGGAGATGACATTGCATGTTTGGATGTGTCTCCAAACTTTAGTGCAGAACTGGAATCATCTTTAAAAATAAAAAACAAAATTAGCATTTTTATTTAATTACAATACATTAAATATATCTAGCGTGATCTTACTTGATTTACTATTTAGTTTTGTTGGCGTAGAAAAATCGCTATTCAGAGATGTTCGGTTTAAATTATATGATTTTTTAAGGTCTAAAAACAGTTTAATAATAATTTATTAATTCCCATTTTAATGTTAACAAACAAATAACAAAGAATATGATAAGCACTCATGCTCTAAGTACGACTATGTAGCATCCTTTAACTATCAATAAGCACATAGGTGTCATAAGATAAATCAATCAAAATTGAGGAATTTAACGCAGGAAATTAAAATGATTCCAGTTGTTAATTTCATTTAACTACCTTAGGAAGACATCAGACATTTTATTAAAATATTATAGCTATTGTGAATTCAATTGATAGGCTACTATAGAATGTTTTTCACTCAGTTAAAATATTGTCTTTTTAGAAAATGTACGAATATAATGATTTCTAAAAACGTTTTAAATTTAAGAAAGAAATTAATGTTTGGTTGTTTTCTGGTTACATATATTGTAAAGGTAATTTTAAATGCTATGCTTGAATGTATACAGATTATAAAATTTAACTCACTGAGTGTAGGATTTAGCGATTTGCTAGTTGATACCACTGCAGGAGTTGAAGAAGCAAAGTTAAAAGCCATGCCTTTTGACGATTGTCTGTTGATATTTGATAATTCTGCTTCATCGACCTTTCTTTTTAAGGTACCTATAATGATAATTATTTTTATGAACAACCATGTACTTCTTTAGCTACAAAACTGCCAAAATACTGTATAAATGTGTTACAGTACAACTGTATGTTAAGCTAGATAATGCTTTTTCAATATAACGTCAACTATACCTCTACTATCAGTGTCGTCTCTCAGAATAGAAGGACTGGACTGGTTCACTAATGACGAACACTGCCTGCTCGTACTCGGTATACACGTCACAGCGGACATTTCAGGAATTTGAACATTGACAGCTTAAATAAAAACGATAGTATACATGTTAGCCGAAAATGTCGAATGCAACGCAAATGGTAGCCGAGCCTACTTGTTGAGTTCCTATGATTGTCCGGAGTAATTAACGATACACTCGGACTACAACCCGATCGGTTGGTATACTTCATAAAGGTATTATTCGGCGTACATAGTTTTTTGACCGGCGGTTGATCGTCGGTTTCACTCGGTGACGGGTCATTGTCGGAGAGTGGATCACTCATAAGTTTGTTCATCCACGTCGTGCCGGGTATGAGTTCGGACACACGTTTGGTGACCCTTCGCATAAACGACTGAAACAACAAAGGCAAACAACAACATCGTCAGTATGGACTATCACGCGTTGGTCAGATCACATTCAACCATGTAACCGTCGTGCGCCTAAAACCATGTGATAAACACACAAGACTGGATGTGCACAAAGAGTGACGGGAGTCGGCCGGTGATTGTGTGACCGACACCGACGGGACCGGGATAGACGGACTGGGATAAAACGGGAACGGCGACAACGGTGTGGGCCGATATTGGCGCGGGATTTGGCAATGATAATAACGTTACCGCCGTCGAGGTCTTGTACTTACGTTGGATTTGTCGTACGGTTTCATGGCGCCTATCGGCCTAATCCCATCGACACACACTTTAAACAACACACGGCCGCGCGAACGTTGACGACGAGCACATTGTCCCAATAAAAACGTACTTAATCGCGGTATTTTTTATTTTATTATCGTGTTAAAAATATTGTTAACGAGAAAAACACTCGGCTCACAAGCGCTGGGACATGACGGCCATGATGGATAAAGTAGATCAGTGATCAGTCGTTGCGCGCCGCTGGCGGTGCCGCCAACGTTCACGCCGATATTTGATAACGTTGTCCGCACTGTGCGGCACGCGAGCGCCGTGGTTCCGTCAAGCGCTGACAGAGCGCGGCGTCCGTCCGGCGGCCGCACACGAGGGCGCGAGAGAGTGTTCTTTCGCCGCCGCGCCGCCGCCGCTCGTTCGAGGAGCACCTGCTCCCGTTGACCGGTTTTTACCGGGTGGGTTAACTTTCGGATTTTTGCTCATCACAGTCTTCAGTCGCAAGTGTCACGCCGTTTTGGAGTGTTGTGTGCGAGCGTTCACCGTCAGTTTCGTGTACGATCGTTTTGGTTTGTTTTTTTTTTTTCATAAACAACCGTCGAATGAGTGTCGTTTTATTTATTTTCATTAACACGACGTAAGTGACAAATACCGCGGAAGACGTTTTCCCAGGGGTGATTTTCAAGTCGACTTCCTTCACGATGCGGCTATTGCTCCTGGTCATCTTGGCCACCACAGGTACGGCGACCGCGGGTTGTCCCAATTGATTACTAATTACTTACATACAATACACTTATTATTAGTACATTACCTGCCGGTGGCCACCGGTTCGGGAGAAAACGGCCCATCAGTCTTTAGTGGCCACTGGGCCAAAGTTGACCAAAAAAAACAAATGTTTGCTGTTTACGAATTTACCAAAAAACATGGGTTTTATTGGATTTACATGCATGCTCATGTCTTATTGAGCATAAGACCCTGGTTAGTGTCAACTATGCCACCAGCCCATAGATCACCGGCTCAATGCGGATCTGAAGATTTAGGTGACCATGGTCCATGACTATTGGCCATTTGTAAGAACTGAAGTATAGACCTGTAGATAGATCCAAGGAATAAAGTGATGAAGACTAAAAAAAAAAATTGACAATACTAAAACAGAAATGCTAAGTTTAAGCGTATATGATAGAAAAGTGAAAATTATTACCGTGAAATTTACATGGAAATTAAATGGTTAAGGCTGTACGTAGACTTTTGAGCTGTTTAAACTTAATAGTTTAAACTTCAGTCTACAACAAGCTAGAAAATATTCTGGTGGAGTTACCATTTTTCAATAGATATCAAAATTCCAAGTATTTAGTATTTAATAAACTTAACGTTTAACTGTTACTATAAAAAACGCTGTTATAAAAGAGGGATATAATTTTTGTTTATGTGGTTTTAACATATTTTTTATCCGTTAAAGTTTTTTTATATAAAATCAGTTTTATTTTTGGGTGACCGAGGAATCAACCCTTTGTCTCAAACTCATAACGAACCCTTAACTCCACTGAACATTCATATTTGTCTTGGTACTATTTTTGACAATTGAAAACAGTAAATTCGATGTAATGGCATTAAGTACCTAGTTAATACTAATTACCAAATAACAATACAATATGTATATATATGTATATTTATATACATATATATTTAATATTGGGTGTAAAATATAGTTCCGGATGTAGTCAAACCACTAGTTTATTTTATTATTTTAAAAATAAACAATCTACTTATTTCAATAACTACATAGGTAATTAATTATAAATGTATAGTTATTAACGTATATAAGCAAATTAAAATAACCAGCATTTTTTCTTGCATATTTAATATTTATCTCGACCAGTCTAAGGTCCTTAGACTGGTTTTTTTTTTGTTAAAATGTACAGCTAATTACCTACATAATGAAATGCTGACCAAACGAGCCTGAGGTCCACGGTTGGTTGAATCACCAATCATGTGTCTTGAACAGTCCTAAGACTAAGAATATTAATTACTAAAAAACTATAAATTGCATAGTTGTTGCTTATTTGTTTAACATTAAATCATACTGTGTCGATTTGTATTAATTTTCACCAGAAAAATATACAAACTTCTTAGTACTATAAGTAGGTAATCTAGAACTTGAAATCGTGATTCGAGTTGGATTAATTATGAAAACTTTCTACTAGGTATTTTGTATTTGTAAATGTAGATCATCTGGATTTATTATTATCACTATGGAGGTTAATTAGAAATAATAACTTATTTTGTTAACTATAATTTAAAACTGCTATGTTTGATGTTCCACTGTTTTTATAATACGACTGGTAACTAATAAGAAATATGTTGTATTTGTAGGCGAAAATTGACCTGTCGGATGTAAAATAATTATAATTTGTATTTTGCACTAACATTTATACTTATGTATTTTGAATTTGTTATGCTCTTTCTCGCTGTTTTCAAATACATAGAAATTAGGGAAATTGAGAATTTGGTTATAATGCAAAAAAATCTTATCATGCACTCTGTCCTTGTTATAAATGACATTAAAAACTATTTAAGACTAACAGACAACGGTCAACAGCTATCATCTACATATTATATGTTTTAAAAAATGTAAATACTCAAAGATTGTTGATACATCTATTTCTGTTTAATGGATGAATTCTGAGGTTTTCACAACCATATAGAACGGCCTATGCAGGCGCATACGGAAATATAATATTATATTTGTCATATTGTCATTACTCATTTGACAGTGCATTGGCCACTTTCCAATTATGTTCCGTACATCCTTGTTAATAGTATTTCAAATTTCACCATTAATCATTATATTCGGCCCTTGTAGGTATACTTCATAAATGTATGTAAACAGACAAGATTGCATGCAGATATTATTAAGCAACATATATTGTAAAAGTTATCTGTTAACAATTTTGAATTAGTATTATTCATCACATTATCGTGCAAAATATGATCTGAATGTGATAAAAGATTAAGTATGTCTTACTGTGTTCCTATTATTAATTACTATCACATTTAAATAAAACGAAAATTGACAAAAGTGATGAACATCTTCATTTGTGTAAATGTGACTATAAATTTGAAACTTCTCTCAATACTAAAATGTTCAGTATCTACACACTTCCGGCATCGTTTTCCATGTTGTATACATTATTTTGAGCAATGGGTGTGATCATTTCTAATAGTTTTCGGATGTGTTAAATAACATATTGTTAAAATAATACTAATTTCACTTTTACATTACACGCATGGACATTATCAGTTAAAACGTTTTAATTAATAATATATGTTATTTTTTGTGTGTTTTATGTAAACAACAATAGATTCATTTGCTGATAAACTCTATGACTAATATAGGTGCCTTGTGTACATTCTATATAACATACAAAAAAACGTTTGCCTAACTAATATTTGCAAATGTAGTTTATTTAGAAAATACTCATTGTCATTTTTAAACTGAGTGAAATTTGAAAATAGATTTTTTATAGCCATAGCCGTTGTGATACAACACAATGTATCTTATTTGTAGAATGTCTTTGAAAATTAACTATACGTTTACAGGTGCATCGTAGTTAATAGGTATGCCTTACTATATAGTACATGTTATGAGACACTTATTGTAGTTTGTTATGTTTATAAATTATGTGTAAAAAAATTGTCTAATGATATTAAGTATATTATATTATGTGTGTGTGTGTGTGTGACGAATCGAAAATAATTTATGCGATCAATGTCTTGCTCGCCATCTATATGTTATATCAATAATGGGCTTTTAACTCACAGTACAAGACTTGTTTGTTTTACGTTAATTTTTACCTTAACGCGAATAGTTTTAGTTTTTTGTAAAAAATAAATATATATATCAGTTCAAGTAAAGAAATCCTACGACGGAGAAGGTAATGCCATAATATAAAATAATTAGAGGATGATTACAACACAAGCAAAGAGCCACTCGGTTATTTGACACGGTCGTTTGTTTCGGTTAGGTATGTTTAGCCCAGATCGCTTTTCTTCCGTAAGTCCTTTATATTTGCTCCATAAAACACACAATTTTTTTTGTACATTAACTCGTTGCTATCCTGAGACTATAATCGTGTCATTTAATGCAACTGATCAGTGATCTCATATATTTATATATTGTTGTTATAAACCGCAGGTTAAATTTAACTTAAAAATTATATTGTGTTTCAATTTTTCAACGAAAACAAAATTAACTAATAAAACAGGCAACAAGTATTAATTAATAACGCACCATTTCTAATATGCATTGATATTATTGACATACATACAACTTAGTTGTATGAGTTTAGTTATCTTCTTTGGTGGTCGATGGGCGTAAAATTCTATAAAAGTGTAATGACTTTATTTTTCTATTTTAAAAACGTTTAATATTCGTTTTGATTTGTGTTTCACTAGTTATATTGTGGTGTTCAGTTCTATCGTAGGACGTCCATCGTTAAAAAATATTACTATAAATACCACAACCGATTTAATAGAAAATGTATTATAATTTTTAAGTAAAGAACGAGAGCCGTTTTATGTAAACCCGAATAATAATTCGGGCATAAAAGGAATAACATTGATAGTGTGTCATTCGAAAGCTCGCGTCAAGTTCCCTCTCTCTCGTATTTTAAGATTATTAAAATCAATTTGATTTTGTAGTACCTATTGACAAAGGTAGGTCTAAAAAGAAAGTGATCGGTCGATGACTACTGGGAAAGTTTGTATACTAACAATTTATGAGTCATAATTTTAGGATGCGAAAATTACTAAGATTTACAACGCATCACAAAAATCAATCTATACGGTCGTTTGTTTGCAGGCTCAGGGCACTGATAACAATTAACACGAGAAAGATACTTATCACACAAAAACATTTATGTTTGTAGTTGTGTATAGATTTAACACATAGTACTAAATAGGTCTTTGCAAAATGGTCGTCACTTTTTTGTTTACATTGAGAGTGACCCTTTCGCTTTTATCTATTCTGTGCCTAATTATCTCCCTATACAATATTACATCTGGATGGGGTTAATTTACATTTACATGGACAATAATGTAATATGTATTAACAATTTTGATGATCAATCAATCTAATATAGCTTGGCCATACTCGATGCCTTTTGTCCATCTCGGATTGTATCAATTATTAAAACGTACAGTTCAGTGACCTAATCCCGTTTAATTTTAAACTATATTTTATGTTACAGGATTGGCGATCGTTTCTTCGGAAACTAATTGCAAGTTTCCTGGAGCACCGGCACATTCATCGGTGACGTTTACTAATGATTCTTTACCCGTCGGAGCGGTGGCCACATACAGCTGCGAAAGAGGATTTGAACTTTTGGGACCCGCACGCAGGGTGTGTGAACCCACCGGCGAATGGCTGCCCGAGGGAATACCGTTTTGTGGTGAGTGCCTACACATTATTTTCTACTTGCTTTAAGCAAATTTCCTTTGTGCGAAAAAAGGGAAAAAGTCGAAGTTCCGGTTATCGATGTTGGCCTTAAACGATACGCAGATCAACAATAGGACATTGCCTAGACAGTCGAGACCTGTAGGTATTATTATAGAAGACGCGTGCACACTGTAGAAAGTCGCCGAGCTTCTTGTAATTTTTTGTAAGACGGTCGCTTTCGTTATTATTTTTCGATTTTTATCCATTACGGGTTGTTGTTTACCGCGATTTTTAATGGATTTACCGAAGAATTGAATTTTGTCGTTATGCGTTAATAATGAACATCGCATCGTTTTGTTGCTCGGTTGAACTTTCTCTCACGTTTACGCGCCAATCAAAATCAAAACAATACGAATTTGTTTTTTTTTACTAATTCACAACATATTTGCAAAAAGACTATGCATGTTATGCACACCATTGTGTTGGTTTGTTCGGCTAAAGAGTCACTTTTGCCAATACAATATTAATGTTGTTGATTATTATTTGAAGCGATATACCCATGACGAAGACTACAGGGTGATTTTTTTGTCGTGGGCCACTCAATATCTCTCTGGGTTTAGTTAATAAATAATTACATTTCTTTTTTTTTGGGTTTTGGACAGCTATTTTTGAAGTTATTGAAGTTTCAAGTTTAGGGCAGGTAAAGGTCGAGTGTAGTATTATTTTTATTATTTTCTCCTCTCGTCCTAACTTTTAAATTTTTATATAACTTAAAAAATAGTAGGTTAAAACTGCTGGTTATATCAACCAGTCAAAATGTTTAGTGAAATATTCTTGACAAGTTACATTTTCGGTTACATGGCGATCTGTAACCGTAATACACTGTTTAAAAAAGTCGAATCGTTGCTGAAGAAGAAATGTGTGTGCATCACTATATTAGAATCGCCCTACAAGTATAATATAAACCTATACGTGTACTAGGTACATCGACGTATTCAATCTACCGTGTTTGTACTGACAGATTCTTTTTATTTTTTGTAAAATTACTAGACAGGTACCGTTGGACAAGATAAAAAAAACAAGTGTTCATGATTGTCGTCGGCTAGAATCGTACAAAGTGGCAAATTATGTTTTGGCAAATTTAATATTCCGTGAAAAGTATAATATATATATATATATTTCATGAGTAAAAAACATGGATAATAATCCTATTCTATAACAATGGGTATGCCGCTGTTGCTTCGATAGAATTTAGTAGCATAAAAAGAATTGTCTGGTTGTTATCTTTCAACAAAAAAACCAAAAAATATAGATCCATCGATTAAAAAAAAAAAACATTCATTCGATTTTCTATATATTATTATGTATTAAACCTTAGCCCTCATACGAACCATTTTACAGTGCGCAAAACGAACCGTTTTTAATAGTGGATATATAGTGATAGTGTATAAGTGTTATGCATATTTTACTTCTCACAAGACCGTCTCGACGATCATGGACAATGTCACTACAGCTTTGGTTTCTTACGACTCTCCGGTGAGAAGATGTAAGACCTTTCTGTCGTATGAATAATATGATATGTATTACCTGTATCATAACATACACATATCATATAACGGGTGTTTAACTCTGCGATGTACGCATTACTACGGTAGACGTGTTTTGCTGTACCTACAATAAAAAAAAAATTGAATACATTTTCCACTAACCAAGACATGTTTTAAAAGATTGAAACTTGCTTGGATTGCTACAAAAAAAAAAAACAAATGTTAATTTTAAATATTATATACATTATGTATGTATTCATTGATATTGCAAGTGTTATTTGGTACCATTGAATCTCGTGTATCACTCCGGCTTAGCTGTGGCAATGCTTAAGTATCCACTGACTGTGTTCAATAAGCATTTAACGGATTTTATTTATTCACTAAAATGCTTTAAAAACATTACTCACTTCGCAGTTCACACGCTTGCCAATGGCAATTAATTATTATTTTGAATTATTCATTATTGTCACTGCACTGGACATTTTTGTGAAATTTTTATTTTGTAGTTCATAATTTTTCACAAACTCGTTGCTTATATTATGTAGATTTTTGGCGTTTCGTGGTTTCACATTAAAAAAATTATTTTATACGAATCGCCAATTGAAAATAAAAATGTACAATTATTTTTTTACGATCCAGTCGCAATAGGATTTGAATCTATATAGTATATATTATTATATTCATTAAAACTTTCAATAGTGAAAGTCGAAATTTGTAATAGTTGTATACAATTCGTTAAATTTTAAACTCATGCATAAAACAAATTGATACATATTTAATGAAACAGTTCAAGAATTTGTTAAATTCTCAGTCAATGTCTACGCGATCCGATATTTAAGTTTATAATTTCTATTAGATATCAAATTTCCATTTTGTACGGACACTTATTTAGGACATACTTTGGAACCGATTTAAAATAGTTTGGGTTAAGTGAAGGCAAATTTTGACTGCAAAATCTTACTTAGAAATAATATTTTTTTCTTTGCTTTTCATTAAACGTGAAAACAGGTGGTTAAAATCCAAGCATTTGAAAAAATTAACAGTTGTCCCATTAAGTTGCAATTTACCCATAGGCGTGTCCAAAGTTAGTGCATAATAAGGACCTGGGATCCTGGCCTTGCAATAACCTTTCCAGTGCTATTAGAGTACTTGTGGGCCCTGATTTTTGGAATTACAAAAAATATTCTCTGCCCGGAAACGACGGTACGTATAGTAGTAGTTCTAGATGAAAAAACTATGAAACGTTACACAATCCATTTTTTTTTTTTTAATATTATGTTTGCTCGTGACTCCGGACGAGCACGGTATATGCGCGTAACCAACCGCTAAACGAGTAGTATTATGAATATTATATTATAGGTACACGTGTAAAGAGTAAAATATTACAGTTGGACGTGTTGGAGTTTTCATTTGCAAGTAGTCGCAGTTAGTGTGACCTGGTTGGCGGTTGACGTACCTGTATCTAAATATTCATTAACGGTGCGGCGGTTGATATTTCGAGGGGCCAAACCCGGTCGTCTTGCGATCGGATCGTCGATCGCCAAACGAGATCCAACCGAAATTCATTACCAGAACCTGTTTCGTTCCCGTTTAACTCATCAGACCCGTCTATAGGATAAACACACACACACACACACATACTTGGTACGCGAATAATTAATTTCAAGTGCTACACACGCACGAAACAATAATAACGACTTTAATGTTTTGCGCTCATTTGTTATTATCATACACCGAGAACTAAGAGGATGGATTGTTTTTTAAAAAACAATTTTTATTACTATTATCATCGTAGTCATCGAAGGCGGTCGCAGGTCCTTGTATGGAAATCGAAACTGGGGTACAGACTATATTATATGAAAAGGCCGCGGTCCACTGTCCCCATATATAATATAAAAGATATCTTATATATAATAATATCAAATAATATATATATATATTATATATACAGGTATGTATTCCGTGCATGCATGACACTTGGGCGCGTAAATAGCGTAGTACGCGCATCAATTTTTATGTCACACGGAAATCCTTTTGTCGTCCTCATACGTGTAATTCGTACACACACACATATACATGTATAAGTTTGCGTGATATGTATACACACACACACACACACACACAGAAAGACTAATGCGTGGCCTAATTTTTTCGGACATACTTCTCCGTCTTGCAGCATATTATTATAATAGTCATAATACCGCTATTACAACGGTAAACTACACCTTCTCGCTCGCCTCCGCGGTCGTCCGTCTTGTCTCGTCGTTTCATTTCGCCGCCCGTTTATCTATCTTTGTATATATATATATATATATATTTATTTTTTTACATGTAAACTGTATGTACACCTGACAATCGGCGCCCATCGTAGCATGATTAATTGTCAATCGGCATGGGCAATCGCGCGCGCCCGCCGATGAGTATATAGTATAGGTAGGTAGGTATACGCCAAATCACGAATCGATGGCAACGATGGCAATCGTCGTTGGAAATTCAATGGACGTTTGTTTTCCGTTCCGTCGAAATCGGTACATTTCAATACAATATACATTTATATGTTATATATGTTATTGTACACCAATGTCGTACACGCTGAGCAAGAGCAAGTGAATACGTCCTAAGTAATAGCCGATGTGGGCCATCGATGGATACACTCCCCTCCCTTATATGGACGTGTAGGTTCGGTCAACGATGACAACACTATAACGATAATAATAACAATAATAATAATTGTTCTCGTACACAAAATAATATGTATCCTGTTGCCGACCAAAGTTTTGTCGGTTTGGCTATATTGGATCCTCGCGAAAGTGGTCGCACCCACTTATGAGGCCGAAAAAACATATACAACGGTATTAATTGTAATTATTGTCTGTTAGACACTTGCAATTTATTGTTTTAATATCATATGGAAAATCATTATCCGATTGATTTTTAATAGTACAATGCCATTATGGAAACGGAACGTTCCAAATACATCGTGAAAAGTGTTTCGCGATGGAGTTATATTATTAACAGGCGTTCGGTTAGGTGCATTATTCGCAAAACTAAAACGTCATGAACATAAAATAAAATTGTTTACCTCATGCCGTGCTCGACGGACAACGGTCGACACCGGCGCTGATTGTCTGATAAAATCTGTAGTTAAAATCCAAAGCTAAAACAATAGTAGCTAACGCAGTCTTTACACAGTCGGATTTCAAAGGTACAACCTACTTTACAAGTCTGTGTATAGCTAAGAAAAAAAAACTAATAAGTTTCGAAACATCCTTGTGAAGTCTTGTGAAGTCGTTCAATGTTGTGTAAAATCGAGAGCTACAGTCCGGTCAAAAACTTAAATGCAGAACTGATTTAACTGATTTTTGTTTAAATCAATAATAACTATAAAAATAACCCACTCAAGTTACACTATAAATGCGTACAACTGATTATTATTATTGCATCTTTTACGAAATCACGGTTTTAT